GAGATGGACAGAGGACCTCCCGGTTACACAAGGAGGCTGACATCTTTCCTTGGCTGCCCTGGTCCCATCCAGGTCGGCTTATCCAGTATCAGCTTCCCTAGGCTGCTCTGTTTAAAAGGAACCACACCAAAATGAGGGTGCTGGTACCCACAAAATTTCCTTCTGACACAACTTCATTTCCCCTTGAAACATAAACCTGCCAATGATGCCTTCCTCCCCAGACACACAGTGAGCCATCTTCGAAGATGGAGTTGGCTCAGCTCCATGTCCGTGATCTTGTGTAGTCCTCTCCACGGTCTCTGTGAAGTCAGTGTTGTCACTATCTCCATTTTACAGAGGAGAAGACTGAGCTGATGAAGGTTAAGAGGCTTGTCCAAGGCACTATGATGGCAAACCCAGCTGCGCTTCCCTCCAGAGCCCTTCCCTACTGAGTCACATTGCCCAGCCCAGCCCAGCCCGGGACTGCCTGCTGGCCTCTCCACCGAATCCTCCTGCATGGAGGCCTTTGTAGCCTTCTCTTGCTTGAAGCCTGGGATCCTAGATGGGGCAGGAGCTGCTCCTTCCTACAGCGTAATCCCCTCATCTGCTCCAAGTCAAACCCCAGCAACACATGAGGGACTTCAAGGAGGGAAACTAAGGAAATCGCTTCTCACAGCTATGGCTTCAGCCAAAGTGGAAGGGAGCTATTAAAGGCAGTGACAGGGTTTGGCTGTTTGCAGCCATGCAACCTGCCGTGCCTGCAAACGTACAACTGCACTGCCTTGGCACTCATCAACTGCACAATTCATTGTGCACCTAATTAATGGAAGGCAGAATCACAGCCCCCTGCAATCCTATGCATCAAAGGATGATACCAACACACTTCCCCTCGCACAGATCTAAAGACTCACACCATATGACTTCATCTGGATTTTTGGACAAGTTATGTAATTGTTCTGGGCTTCAACACCACTGATGGATGGCAATGCTTTAAACCATGGCCAAAAGCAAATGGGTGAAGGCAAAGGACTTTAGTCCTGAAAAAATACAAGAGTCCCTATCCTGCAGTCACATCGGCCAGCTCATGCAACGTTTGGTGACGCTGTGTCCCGAAAAAGGACTCTAACATACCCACCCATAATGAGAGCCAAGAAGATTTCAGGAAGATACTGAATGGGGATCTACCTTCTCAGACGGATGGACGGCCTGTCTGCCAGGTGCTTTATGACATAACTTCCCCATCTATCGCTGGTCTGTCTACCTGTCTCATTCCAGGATCTTCTGGACTCTTGGGGGGAGGGGGGAGGGTCAAAGTTTCTTGACTAGCACCTTTTTCAAAGGAAAAGTCTGGAGATTTTTCCGTTCTTCCAAAGGCCAGGGCATGAGAGGGCGTCTCAGGCAGGCTCACAGTCACTGTTGGTTTCCTTTCTCCCCAGAGTCACAGCTGATCGGTCCTTTACTAATGTCCCCACAGATCTGATTGCTGCAGATACTAATAACACTGTCCATATTCGGAGTGCCAATGCCAATAATGTTCTGGGTATTATCACTGTGAACACCAATAACTACTGCTGAGATTGTCTCCAATAATGCCAGCACACGCCGCAGCCATTGTCCTCGCTAATGCCCACCACTGTGACATTGTTAGAGCTAAAGAATAAGCCGCACTGTACCCATAGGCAGGAGCAGGAGTGGCTTCCTTGAGGACAGAGACACTCACAGCTGGCCCCTGGGCTATGACACTGCCAGGGAGATGCCCCCCATGTGTGGGGCCAAAATCAAGCTGGCCTGGCAGGGGGCACAGGGCCCTCCAGTAGGAGACCTGCCCCTCCACTCCCTCAAGGTCTAGTGCCTTGATGTGCACCCTTGTTCCCATCCCAGCCCCCCTCAGGTCCCTGGGACAGCTCTCTCTTTCGCCTGCAGTGCCGTCGGCCCGGGAGCTGAAGGACACACCTGGGTGTCTATGCAGCCCATGCCCGAGGCTGCCTCCTGCGCCCGGCCTGCCAGCTGCTGTGCTACCTTGGCCTGACTGCAGAGTTGGGCTACATCATCTTGACACTTAATTATCTCCCCTGTTCTTAATCATCTGAGCTGCTCCCTAATGCAAACTGGGCCTGGCTGCTTGGAGGTGCCCTGAGTTGGGGGAGGGGGCAGGCTGTGGAGGGTCTGTCTTTCCTGTCCTCTCCCTTCCCACCTGGTCCGATGGATCAAGTGCATGGATCATGTGTGGGGTGTGTGTGTGTGTGTGTGTGTGTGTGTGTGTGTGTGTGTGTGTGTGTGTTGGCGCACAGGGTGGTCAGGGAGAACTGGCTTTCCTCATAGGCTCTGGCCTCCACAAGGGAATGGTCAGCTCCTCTTCCCACCTGGTCCGATGGATCAAGTGCATGGATCATGTGTGGGGTGTGTGTGTGTGTGTGTGTGTGTGTGTGTGTGTGTGTGTGTGTGTGTGTGTTGGCACAGGGTGGTCAGGGAGAACTGGCTTTCCTCATAGGCTCTGGCCTCCACAAGGGAATGGTCAGCTCCATCTGGCCTGGGGTTGGTCAGAAGGAGGGGTGAGTCAAGGCAAAAGAACCTCCCCCCTCCCCAAAAGAGAAGCAGGGTCTCTGATCCTTCTTGCCACTGAGCTAGGCCTCGGGGTACGTATTTATGCAGTAAGAGTAAATTTAGAGATTGACATTACCTCTCACCTAGAATTCAACTGCTTCCTGAGGTATCTCCCCACTGCCATCGCTACCACCATGCTGGAGGAGGGCCTCCCCAAACCCAGCCCTGCTCTTGTGCCCTTTCTGATCAGACACTTTTGGTGGCTTCTCATGTCTGCAGGCAAAAGTCCCGTCTTGGCCGGCTCTCCTAGACTCATAACCCCTCCACTTAGCCTACCTCCATGACTTCCCCTCAGGCCCTTTCATCCCAGCCAAAGCACCCCTGTTTTTTCCACACAGTACCTTCTGGCCACAAGGCCCAGTCTGTCCCATAGAACTTCAACTACTATTGTCTTTGAACCATGCCCCTCGTCCATCCCTCAGGCCCCTCCTCAGAGAGCAGCCCTTTCTGGGGGTTCACTCCTTCCTCTCTCTGAGTTCCCACGGCCTGCAGCCCAGACCTCCATCACAACACAGATGGGCCTTTCTGCTCTCTGGGCTCATGTGTTTTATACGCCCCACTAGACTATAAGCTCCCTAAGGACAAGAATCATATTTTGTTCTGCTCTGGGAACCTAGAGCACCAAGCCTTTCTTATGAGTGATGCCCAGAAAAGGTTCACTGAATTGAATTGACTTGAAACAATGAATCTGATCAATTGCTCAGAGAGGAGGGCACTCTGTTCTGCCGACCTGCAGTGGCCACAGCCTCAGGCCAGTGTTTCTCTATCTCTAGCCTCCTTCCTTGACCTACAGGAGTCCAGGAAGCAGTGGACATGCTTGACCCCAACTTCAGACCAGTGGGGAGGAGTCCAAAGGGGGTCCTGTGGCCTCCCCCAGCCCCCTGGTTGTTTCACAAGTGCTAGGGGTTTAAAGGAGAAATCCTCAGGGTCTGAGGCAGAATCTTCCAGATTACTCAGGGTGCTGGGGAGCTTGGCAAAGGCCCGAGTATGGGGAACCCCCAGGGAGAACTGAGATGCAGGCCCTTTCACACAGCCGCCCCCTGCCCATCAGTGGCTATTGCCAAAACAACCACAATGAAATTTAGTGAGTGGCAAAGGCCGTGGCAGCCAAATGTGTTTGGATATTTTGGAAGAAGGAGAAATAGAGCCAGACAAGCTGTTTTCCTGTGAAACGAGGCCATTAGGGCTTCTGGAAGGAGGCCAGACCCAGGTCATCACTGTCTTGCCAGACCCAGGCCTCTCCTACACGCTGTCCCTTTCTGCTGGAGTCCTGGGCTCTCACACTCTCTTTTCCCCTAGCCTGGGCCTAGGGGATCTCAGCTTTGTCTCCTTTCTCTGTTCCTCACCCTCTAGAGCTGTCCCAATCAAGGGCTTGTCTATGCTTGGGATGACCACAAGATTTATTGTCCAAATAGGACATTTTTGAGAGAAAAAGGAGATGCTGACTGGCCAAGATGCAGAGACAAAGGCATAAATTGGGACTGTCTGGACGAATGGGATATATGGTCCCCCACCTATATTCACATTTAGAGGGTTCTATTTCATGGGAGATACCCTTAAAAGTACACCCTCTCTAGACCAGGAAGTTACTGCCTCCCCAGCAGGGATGGTAAGATCAGGGCAGGAAGCAGGCTCCAGACACTGGTGTCTCCCTTTGTCTGGGCCTGCCAGCCCTGTGCCCTGGCCTCATGCATCAAAAGAGAACCAGACGGTCACCAAGGGACCCTTAATGTCACATTTGAAAAACACTTTCTCCCAAGCTCATCACCACCACTCTCTCCTCTGATTTTCTTTCCCTGTTTCTCCTCCTCTTCATCCCTCTCACTCCATAACTCCCTGCCCAACAGCTAGCTACCCCCAAGGAATTACAGGGAATGAGGGGAAGGGCCAGAGAGGAGCCTTGGGGGTGTCTTCTCCCACAGCAAAGAGCAGAGAGGGCCCATGCCCAGCTCCCCTAGTGGTTTGAATCGGCACAGGGTCAACATGTTACAGAGAAAGGGCAGTAGGGTCAGCTGCACGTGACATCACTCCCCCATTTCCTGATGGGTTGAGATCAGGGGAGAACAAGTCAGCTTAGCTTTTCATCCCCAGGTCAGAAACCAGCTGTCCCCTAACCTCCAAAACCTTCCCATGGTCCATGGTCCCTGCTTTTCCTCCTGGCATCCCACAGGGATGTTTAGGGTGAATCCCAGCGGAAGGTGAAGCAGTCGGGGCTGCTGAGCAGATGGTGAGGCTGACGGCCCCACCAACAGCCTGCCTCCCTCTCTCCAGGAGCCAGCAGGGTAGTGGAGGGACCTGGGCTTTGCTACTAAAAGTGATCTCACAGCAGAGCAGCTGTGAAGCCGGGCCGAAACCGGAGCTCTGAGTCCAAGGACAAAGCATCACAGCGGAAGCCAAGCCTCTTCCCTCCTCCCTACCTTCATCACGTTTCCTCTTCTCGCCGTTGGAGCGAGGGATCCCCAGGATCCCATTGATGGAGTAGGATCCCACTGGATCATTGGAGGCGCTGGAAACAGGAGGGGAGGCCGTACTGGGAACTGGACGGGAAGAAGGAAGAAATACCATCAGGATAGTGGTTGTGATCGAAGGCCAAAGCCCCAAGGCTGGGGGCAGAGAGAGGGGGAGGGAATGAGTGGGGATGGGGAGCCCATAGTCTCCTTTCTCTTAGATTTAAGGGGGAACAAGTTGCTGCATACAATTCAGGCTCTTCACTGCTGTCCACCCTGGGCTTAGTGGGGACCAGTCAACCCAGGCCTTCTCTGCAGACCTGAAGATTTCACTCACTCACTGTAGGTTGAACCAACTCTTGAGGATGAATGGAAACAGCAAAGCAGACTCAACCGAGAAAGTGGTTCAGGGGTCCTGAGAGAGCACAACTCCTTCTTGCATAGCTCCTTCTTGCACAGCTCTTCCCCAGATCCCTGGGGCTGGGCAAATTTGTTTAAACAAGTCCCAGCCCATTGTTTCTAGTCTTCTAGGCAAAGTCTTTCCCAGTCCTGATTTAGAGTCTGTGGCTTTCTAAGATCTCTCTGCTTCTCTTAGAGACACATGAATGGGTCTGATATTCCCCAGAGGTATGAAGCTCTTCACTCCCACCTGTTGCTTCTGGTTTTGAAATCACCTGAGAAGTTCCTAATTTCCCCTTCAGGGCACAGAGTAGTGAACACTTTCACTCTGCAGTGATCAACTCAGGTACAGGTCGATCCAACCCTCCCCCCAGCACACGCTGTAACCCAGGTCTAGCAAACAGGGCTCCTGCCAACTCCCGGAGGGCTGGGACCAGCCCTTTCTACTTTCTGCTGGTCCAGAGATAGGGCACAGCTGCCAAGAGGGACAGCAGGAGAAGTTTAGCCACATCCCAGTCCCTAGAGATCTCACCTATGGCTTCAGCAGCACTGAGCGCCCTTGGGTCAAAGGGAAGACAGTGTGTGGGAGGGAGGGAGGCGGGTGTTGGCAGGTGTTCTGGTGGGACTGGTCATGTCTGTGCAAGGCTGTGAGCAAGGGTCAATAAATGAGGGGGCTGGAGAGGGGCAGAGAGTTATGGCAGATGAGAGAAAGAGATAAAGACATCAAGAGAGATGAACTGAGAGGAGAGAAGCCATGAGGAGGGAGGGAGACAGACAGAGGAAGAGGTAAGGGCCACCTGGACAGAGAGGAGAGGAAAGGGAAAGGCAGAAGGGGAAGGAAGAGGAGAGAAGGCAGAGGAGGAGAGAGGAGAGGAGAAGAATCTTAAAAATTAACAAAGCAAAAATGGAGTAAGCAAGTAGATATGAAAGAGAGAAGGATAGAGAACAAGACATGGAGCAGGAGGAGAATGGGAAGGAGAAGGAAAGTTAGAGGAAAGGGAGGGAGAGAGACAGATGCACAGACTGATAAAGGCAAGAAGATGTGGGCAGGAGGCAGAGCACAGTCCTTGTGAGCTGGTCTCTCAGGCAGATCCTGCACCTCTAGGAACCCAGAGAGAGCGCAGGCCTTCGACCTCAGACAGTGTGCATTCCCCAGGGCTAGAGCTGCACTGCCCAGCTCTCAGGGGGCCCAGCATCCCCCATTCCCTAAGTCCTCTTACCAATGGTGTGGCCAGGGGCAGTCACTCCAGTCCCGGCTCCATCCGGCGTTGGGTGGAAAGGCTGCTGAACTTTGGTCCGGATGATCCTGCAACAGCATCACCAACAGCATCACATGTCACATGGCCTTTGATGCCCTGGCCACCTCCAGCCAAGCCCTACAGAGGCGGCTCCCCCAAGCTCCCTAGCTCCCTCCTCCCTCAGCTGCTCTCTGCACCCCCGCCCTCCCTGACTGCTGCAAGGCAGGAGCTTGCCCTCCCGTTGGCTCTGCAGATCCAAGTTCAGCGCATCCCTGGGCGGAGGCAGTCTGCATTCTGTCCTGCTGTGCATCGACCAGATTGCCGTTTGACTTCTGGTAGCAAAGATCAGGGTAGAGGAGCGAGCAGACCACAGCATCCTTCCCTTTTCCGGGAGCAGGGGCTGGCCTGGTGACTCGCTGCCCACCCTTCCCTTCTGGAGATCATTTTGGAGCTGGCTTTCCTATTGGGACTGTATCACAGTCCTCCAGAGTCAGGGAGGGGTGAGATCTCCCCATTTCCTGAGCTAAAGACAGAGTCAAGGAAGGGCTGGGTCACAGTAACCCTTTCGTCTCCAGGATTCCAGTACAGCACACAGTCCCTCTGTCAGGCCCTGAGCGACTCCTTGAACCACTTAGTGCTTTCACACCCTACAAAGCCCTGTTGCTGCCCAGCTCGCTGGCACGCTGGCCTCCTTCCCAGAGGCCTTACTTGAATCTCAGCTTCTTTACCAGACTGGGTGAAGAGACTGGTGCCTTTCCCATGCACTCTAGGTGAGGGTGGGGGAGAGGGCTCCAGATCAAACATTGCAGGGCTGAGGACTGTCAGTGATCCAAGGGCCCAGGGCTCAGGGATGCAAAAGACCAACCCTAGGGCCAGCATCGAGGAACATTTCCCTCTACCCACTGGTCCATCAGGTGCCCATGGAAGCCACTTTCCTGAAGGCAAGGCCCCCTCCCCGCAGAGAGGTGTGTGAGCCAAGTTCATCTCAACCAGCCAGGTGAGTCACAGCTGTGCATGGACTGGGACACTCGCAGGTGGCCGAGATAAGGTCTCTGCCTCCTAGGACTGGTAATGAAATTGGGTAGGGAGGTCACACCTTGAGAAACCTAAGTCACCCCGAGGGAGGGAGCAGGCAGTAAGTACCAGGAAGATGCAGGAGAGGAGTCACCTGCCTTGTGTGGGGCAGAGGAAGGGGAATGGGAAAAAAGTCATTGAGGAGGTGGAATTTGGAATTTGATGTAGAGCCTCCAAGCAGTGTAAGGCTGAATACACACACACACACACACACACACACACACACACACATGAGCCAAAGGCACGGGGGATAACAGAAAAGTCCCTGGGTCGCATGTCTAAAGTCTTGATTCTGCCATTAATTGGCCACATAGCCTTGGCCTCATCATTCTCCTTCCAGGCCTCAGTTTCTTCAGTTATAAATAAAGAGGATAGATGACAGGCTCTTTAAGGTCTCTTTCCCCAGTAAAAAGTAGCATGCTCTTAACATGAACAAAGAAGCAGGAGAGAGGAGGTTATAAGCTGGAGGAGGGTGAAAGAAAAGCAAGGGAGGGAGCACAGGGTGAGGGGGTAACGCCTATCCAGGAATGCTGGAGGGATGTAAGGGACTAAGAGGCAATAAGACTGAAAAGCTGGAAGTAATGATGATACTAGTGATTTTTCTATTTACTGAGTGTCTACTATGTGCCCTTATTACTGTACATATAAAATTTTTAATTCTCATAGCAATCTTTAAAGCAATACTATTATCCTCATTTTGCAGACTTAAAGTCAAAACTCAAAGAGGTTAAGGAGCTTACTGAAGATTACACTGTCAGCTAGGGCAGAGGTAGAATTCAGTCTCTAAAATGTGTATTTTTCATTACGTTGTCAGACTTCCCCCAGTATATAGGAACCAGGTTTACAGAGTCTTAAGCCATGAGTGATTTCTAAACTAAAGGAGACAGGTACAAACCAATGCAGGTAAAGCAACAGACAGGCACAAGGCTGTAAGGGGCTGGTCTCAGACAAGAGAAGGAAGGGGGTGGGGAAGGGAATTCGCTGGTGGTCCAGGGGTTAGGACTCAGTGCTTCCACTGCTGAGGGCTCGGGTTCAATCCCTGGTCAAGAAACTAAGATTTCACAAGCCACTCAGGGTGCCCCTCTCCCCAAAAAGTGAGACAGAGAGAAGGAAGAATTTTCAAGACATAGTGAAGGCAAAATGGCCAGGATCTGGCAACTAACTGGAGTCAACCTTGACTCCACTAGTCTGTGGCTCTAAAACCACAGTGGTGTGTAGCTGGAAGGCTGGTGGTTTGTCTAGCTCTCAGGAAGAGGAACACAGCATGGTGACTGGCTGGTCCTTGACACGCATCATTTGAGGAGGCAGATGAGTGCCCAGGTGGAAGATTGTTCACCAGCCAGCACAGCAGATATAGATTCAGGAGACTGTCAAAGAAGGGCGTGTTGGTTGGCATGAGAGGCCTAAGGAGGAGACCCTGGAGGACATCTAACAAAGGCTAAGAAAAAGAACCTGACCTTGCTCAGTGCTCAGAATTGGTCGTATAGGAAATGGCAGAACCAGGATCAGGTAGTGTTAGCCAAGTCAACAGAGAAGAACATTTCCAGAAGGAGAACATAACCCCAGCATCCATGATGACACCATCCATGGTGACATAAAGTTTGAAGGGAACTGGAAATAAGAAGAGGCACAGATTTGGGAATTTTGGATGACCACTAATGACCTTGTGAGAGTGGTCTCAACAAAGCAACGGAGGCAGAAGCCAGACAGAAAGAGGTTAGGGAGTGGAACAGGGGAAGAGGGAGGCAGTGAAACAGATCATAGATTCAGAAGTTTGTAGAAAAGGAGAGAGATGTGTGGAAGCTGAAGAAGGCAGGTGAGTGGAGGGAAGCCTGTTCAGGGCAAGAAGGACCTGGACATGTTTGTAGGCCAAGGAGAAAGAACTGATGAAGAAGGAGAGGTTGAAGTTGCTGGAGAGAATGTGGATGACCACAGACAAGGTAGAAGAAGGAGAGAACAGAATGGGGGGCACAGGGAGGAGGCAGCAAGAAAAGGCATGTGGTGATGTGGCCCAGAGTTTCTGGGTTTGGAGCATGATCACGATGGGAAAGACCGACAATCGCTAAGGGCACTGTAGTCTGGTCTACAGGAGAAGTCTAAAGGCTGAGCAACTCAGAGCAGCTGCTCCTAATTCACTGCAGCAAAAAGTTTCTGGGGTCTCAGGGGGCCGGTGAGTGGCTCTGATTTGAGGGCTGATGAGCTCTGGACAGAGGGAGCCCCCAGACTGAGGTTGGGTGAGACAGACAACTGGGTGGCCTCATGCAGCTGCTGTCTTTGTTACCCAGAGCCTCTGACCCCTGGGGCACTGGTACAGATTTAGCTGAGGCAGCAAGTGATGGAAAATCACTACTTCCTGACAGCAGCTTGGTGGGGCACAGGAGAGGTGCTGGGCAGGATGCCTGCTGTGACTTACTAATGCTCTTGGTGTCTATCCATGCCCCCCAGGCAGTGGACACTCACCAGTCCCCAAAGCTGAATCTCAGAATTTAAGAACCAGGACTGTGGAAACCCAATGGCCATCCATCGCCCTCCTGCATTCCATACACAACCCAATGACTCATGGGAATATCTCTAAGGGTTAAATGGATAAAGAGGTTGCTTTGTGTGACTGTCTGACACTATTTCCCTCTGTTTCTCCTCCTGTTCCTTCAATTCTTTTTCATTTTTGGCCCCATAAGACAGCCAAACACATCTGTAGCGCCCACAGCTCCAGGCAGAGTTGGCCTGAAAAGTCAAGTTCCCACACATGCATCCTTAGAGGATACAGTCAGGAGCCCTGAGCACATTTACTGGGGGCCGGGAGGTGCCATTTCCTGTTTCCACAGAAAGCCTGCCCTGCCAGGGTACCTGCTCTCCACTTCTCCTCCAGGCACACTTTCCTTGACAGGTGTGTTCTTTCTCCCCCACCTTCCAGGGAACCTCCTGGACTTTGCCTTGGCTTAGCTCAGGGCCTGCAAGTACCCAGCATCTCACACTCATGAGGCTGTGAGCAAAGCAAAGGGGAGTAGAGGGTGGGCTCCGGGCTCAGTCTGCCTGAGCCTGAGTCCCAGTTCTGTTATTTAATGTCCGTGGAATGAATCCCTGGTGTTTCTTATTCTCTCATCTGTAAAACAAGATAATACTATCTACCTCATAGAACTGCTGTGGGGGTTAAATAGGATAATTCATGTAAAATGATTAGTGTGATGCTAGGCTCAATAAATGCTAACTATAACTGTAACTACTACTACTATTATTTCTGTGGGTGACCCCCAAGCCAGGCTGCTCTCTATGGAGGGGCTAAACCAGGTGTAGGCGAGGAGGCCACTCAGGCCCATCTGCCCCAGCCTGGTCAACGCAGCTGCTTCCAGGACCCCAGGAGGTGCTCTGAGAAGACAGGAAACAGGAGCAGCAGGTGTCAAGCCTGACCCAACAAGAGATGCATCAGAGACTCTTGGGAAGACAGACTGGGGGCCCTGCCTGGCAGCACTGGGAAGGGGCTATCGACAGTAGGAGCAGCAGTTCCCTCAGGACCCACAGATGCCAGGGGGTTGTGGTAGAGCTTTGGAGTAAAGGAGGACAAGGCAGGTGAAGTCACTCCCTCTTTGGTTAAATTCCCAGGAGTTCTCCACTCCCGGCCATGCTGGAGATCCAGAGTCTCATGAGGGGGAACTTCCCTGGTGGTCCAATGATTAGGACTCTGTGCTTCCACTGTTGGGAGCATGGGTTCAATCCCTGGTTGGGGAACTAAGATCCTGCATACCCTGCAGTTACGGCCTAAATAAACAAACAAATTTAAAACCAAACCAAACCAAATAAAAAAAACTCCAATCTCAACTGCTCTGTGAGTTAGCATGAAATCAGGTAATGAGGCTCCCATTAACAGTTTGTTAAACTCATGAAGAAAGAAAGACACTCTCAACTCTAAGAAAGCGCTAGGGGGGATTCTTCACTCCTGATTTTCTTCCTCCTCCTTCCTCTGCATTTCATTCTCTCTCTCCCCTTCCTGTCTATC